ACCTTTATTACACCTTTTGGCCGGTGGCGGTATACCCGTGCCCCTCAGGGCTACCTGTCATCAGGTGACGGGTACAATCGCCGCTTCGACCAGATATTGGCTGATTTCGAGCGAAAGGAGAGGTGCGTCGACGATACCATTCACTATGACGAAGATCTGGAGGAGCATTGGTGGAGGACCATCGACTTTCTGACACTGGTGGGCAGAGCAGGCATTGTTCTGAATCCAGACAAATTTCAGTTTGCTCGACGAGATGTCGAATTTGCAGGGTTCCATGTCTCAGAACACACTATAAAGCCCCTCCCAAAATACCTGGAAGCCATTCAATCCTTTCCCACCCCAAAGAACACCACTGACATCCGTAGCTGGTTTGGCCTTGTGAACCAAGTGGCTAACTATGCTCAACTACGAGACGTCATGGCTCCCTTTCGACCCTTCCTGAGCCCAAAGTACAAATTCTTCTGGACTCCTGTGTTGGACCAGGCCTTCAGTGATTCCAAGCAAGCCATCGTAGATGCAATCCGCCTGGGTGTCGAGATATTCGACACCTCCAAACCTACTTGCCTCCGCCCAGATTGGTCTTCACGAGGGATTGGCTATTTCCTCCTCCAGCAGCATTGTTCTTGCACCACTGGTATGCCAGACTGTTGCCAAGATGGCTGGAAGATCACACTGGCAGGATCCCGCTTCCTTAACGGCGCAGAACAGCGCTACGCACCCATTGAAGGCGAGGCGTTAGCGATTGCCTGGGGCCTAGAGCAGACACGGTACTTCACCCAAGGCTGCCCCAACCTCATCGTGATCACTGACCATAAGCCGCTCACAAAGATCTTCGGAGATCGCACCCTCGATGAGATTTCAAACTCGCGCCTCTTCCGTCTGAAGCAGCGCACCCTGCCTTGATATTTTCGGATCGCCCACTTACCGGGAAAAACAAACTCTGCAGCAGACGCCACTTCTCGTCACCCCTGCGCATATACAGAGGCATCACCCGAGGACTGTTCTGAATCCTTATTAATTGCATCCATATGTCAGAACGCAGAGGGGCTCACCTCCATTCCCTGGTCTCGGCTGGCACAAGAGACAAAAGCGGACTCTGTCCTGTCCCAAGTGATGACAGCAATATCGGAGGGATTTGTCCACGACAACCCATCAATCTCATCCTTGATGCGATACAAGGACTCCCTGTACATCCTAGATGGTGTGGTCATGTACAACGACCGTGTGGTGGTGCCATCGTCCCTTCGACCGTCGATCCTTGAGGGACTGCACTCAGCACATCAGGGCGTATCAGCAATGGAACTACGGGCCCAAGCCATCGTCTTCTGGCCAGGTATCACCAACGACATCCAATCCACAAGAACAAAATGTCGTGAGTGCAATCGGAACGCTCCATCCCAGGCTCCACTGCCGTCTGAACCAGCAATCCCGCCATCCACCCCTTTCGAACAAATCTTCGCTGACTTCTTCGAGTTCGGTGGCCACCACTACCTCATTGTTGGCGACCGTCTTTCCGGATGGTCAGAAATATTTTCTACACCCTCAGGAAGCCCTCATTCAGGGGCCCGAGGCCTGATAGCATGTCTCAGATCGTTCTTCACCACCTTCGGCGTCCCTGAGGAGCTCTCCAGTGACGGGGGCCCTGAGTTCGCAGCAAGCGCTACCGGTGAATTCCTTCAGCGTTGGGGAGTGAGGCATCGCCTGTCCTCCGCGTACCACCCCCAATCCAATGGCCGTGCCGAGGTTGCTGTGAAGAGCGCCAAGAGACTTCTCCTATCTAATGTGGGCCCAACAGGGACATTGGACAACGACCACCTACTGCATGCCATGCTTCAGCTGCGCAATACTCCCGATCCCGACTGCAATGTGTCACCAGCCCAGATCATCTTCGGACGCCCCATTCGTGAAGGAGCTTGAGTCAATGGGAGAAAAAGGGAAAGTCCGATCCGCAGGGCAGCGAACGAAGGCGGAAAGA